CAGATAAAAATTATGACTAGTACCTAGTTTATGTTTAAAAAGTACCTGCACTTGCCTTTCCCTTACAGCAAGGAAAAGTTAATTCAAAGTGTGGAAGAAGATATAGAGCGTGAAAAACAAGTAGCAGATGATATAATAAAAAATATGTCTCAGGAAGATCAAGCTAAATATATGGAGATGAAGGCTACAAATAGAAAATTGTTGCAGGTGAGTATTTCCTGTTTGTCTAAAATGTTGCTGAAACTACCTCCATAATTTCCATGTACAACACAGAAATACTGGAAAATTTAAAGAACAACTATTTTCACAAAAAACCCAAGTATTTTAATACAAAACTTTGTGTTGGTGCAGTGGCGCTGAACCTTTTGGCTTGGCCCCATGAGCCAAATGAGTGGTTTGGGGCCAGGCCGCAGGCCAGATCATACGCCACACCCCAGGATCAGGCCCATAAGTCTGGATCCACGCCTCACTGCCCCTACCTAGCCTCATGTGTCAGGATTGGGGCCCCAGGACTCTTGTGTCACCCTTGTCTAGCCCTGCGTGCTGGGATCTTGAAACTGGAACCCTATGCTGCCTCTGCCCAGCCCTGTGCACTGGGATCAGGGCCCTAGCACCCCACATCATCTCCTCCTGGCCCTGCACACCAGGAGGAGGCCCTGAGTAGCTCTGCCACCCCTATGTGGTGGTATTGGTTCCCCAGGCCCCTGCACCACCTCTACCATGCTCTGCATACAGGGATTGGGCTCTAGGGCGCTCCACCACCACTTCCCAACCCTGCAGTGCCCTTCCTACCAGATCTAGCATGCAGGGCCACAGCCCATGGGGCTTCCCACGGACCCAGACTGGATGACAAGGTGCCAGGGGTATAGGGTTGAGCACCCCTGTGTTAGTGCATGAGGATCAGAAAGTGAAACTGATTAGGAACAAAATAATATTTAGTAATTTTTAGTGCTTGGAAACAATCTATTAAGTATGGAATGAAGGCTTTTGAGGAAAGAAGATCCCAACATGCAGCGAAAAGAAGAAATCTCAGGAAGAACCCTGCACCACATTTAGTATTGTTTAATATGAATTTCACATGTGATAAGTGCAGAAGGGGCTGTCACTCAAGCATTGGGCTCTACAGTGACAACTCAGATGTATAACAAGCTGATGCCTGACTTGGTATAGTTCTATTGTCCTGTGAGACAGACAGATGCCTACTATTACTACTACTGTTAATTTTTAGTTATATATCTCAAACTGGCTTACAAAAGACTAAATTATCCTCATTACCCTTCATCATTATCTTCCTTCTACAGATAGGGCAACGTAATTCTGACGTAATTCTGCAGACACTAACATGCTTAACTTTAATCACATAGTGAAAATTAAGCATATTTATGAATGTTTGCAGGATCCACGCATAAATAACTTGCCCCAGCAAGCTGGAAAATTTTGGATTCCTTATTTACACGAATGATGAAACCTAAATCTGAGTAGGTTTTTTTTGTTTGTTTCCAAAACTGAATAAATAGGAAAAGTATATAAATTGTAAAAATATGCTTGAATTTTTAAATTCTTTCAAGTTAAGTGATCTAAATATTAACAATAGAAAGAAGGATATTTTTTAAAAGGTCATTTTTAATCTGCCTGTCCCTTTAAGAAAAAAAAAGAAAGGTGAAAATGATTCACAATTATTGGCAAAATACAAATAAGAATATGAAGTTTATTCACATAGAGTAGACCATAACACTGTAAAGAAGTCAGCAGAGACTTACATTAGAGTTATTTAGGGACTGGATCTCAACCTGTTTTCTCATACATTTAAAACGTATAGCTACATGATTTACTGCATTTGCAAATGTTAAATATGTCAAATAGAAAAGTAATTTTTCTGTTGGTAATTCTTAACTTTAATTTTTTTAACTTTTTTTTCTTTTTAAGGAATTAGATGCTCAACAGCAAGAGTTAGATGCATATAACATGAAGGAGGAAGCTTTACGAGCTGTATGTATGAGGATGAATGACAGGTCTATGCATATTTTAAATGCAAAAACCAAAAAAGATCCTGCTTTGCCACAAGAAACTAATCCAGGAATATTTTTTGTAAATCTTTCAGACCTTGATCCCATATCCGTTGAAAATAATAGCAAAGCTCTCACTGATTTCAGTAGTGCAGGATCAGTCCATTGTACTTTTATCAGATATGGCCAAAAACCCAGATGTGATCATAACTTATCTTTGCTGGTTGACAAGAAGTCAGAGAATTGTATTTCACAGTTACATCATATAGGTAAATGAGAGCTCATCATAGCTATACTTTTACATATCATTATTCCCCTTTATAAATCCATAGTGCATCCACACCTTGAGTATTGATACCCACACCTCAAAAAAGATATAGAACTAGAGAAAGCACAGAGCAGAGCAAGAAGTGTAATTAATGGCATGGAGAGACTAAAGAGGCTAGGCTTGTTCATTTTAGAAAAGAGATTTCATAGACATTAGGGCTGGAAGGGACCTTGAAGATCATGAAGTCCATTCCCCCCTGCCCCAGGGGCAGGAAGTCGACTAGGGTCAAAGGATCCCAGCAAGATAAGCATCCAAACATTTCTTGAATGAGTCCAGAGTAGGTGCCTGCACCACTTCTGGAGGGAGTCTATTCCAGGCCTTGGGGGCTCGGACAGTAAAGAAGTTTTTCCTTATGTCCATCCTAAAACGGTTATGGAGGAGTTTATGATCATTGGTCCTTGTTATCCCTTGGGGCGCTCTGGTGAACAGACGTTCTCCCAGATCCTGATGTGCACCCCTTATGTACTTCTAGGCAGTCACCAGGTTACCCCTAAGCTCCCGCTTTTCCAGGCTGAAGAGTCCCATGGCTCTCAGCCTTTCATCATAAGGCCTATTCTATTGCCCTCTGATCATGCATGTGGCTCTTCTCTGGACTCTCTCAAGCTTCTTGACATCCATCTTGAATTATGGAGCCCAGAATTGGATGCAGTATTCCAGCTGCGGCCTCACGAAGGCCGCGTACAGCAGGAGTCTCAGGATGACATCCTGAGATTTACTTGAGAAGCATCTATGGATGCAAGCTAGAGTTTTGTTTGCTTTACCAGCTGCGACATCACATTGGTGGCTCATGCTCATCTTGTGGTCAATCACGACCGCCAAGTCTCTTTCAGCCGTGGTGCTAGCGAGCATAGCACAGCCGAGCTTATAAGCGTGCTGTGCATTTTCCCCCCCCCCCACCCG